CAGCAGTGTCCAAGGACTGAGAAATAGGAATTCCTAATTTGCAGAGGAATTGTCAGTGTTGCTACGATAATTCCTCGGGGAAATGGGAATTGACCATTATTTCCATAACAGTTCCCCAATTCATGAAAGTCAAAATAATGCTTTTTTTGAAATGATTTTCACACTCATACATTCATGTTCATAAATTTATTGATGAAAATGAATGTAAGGGTAAAAAATACCGTGGATATTGTATTTTTTTAATTTTAGCATTCAAGGAAATGTCAGGGAACTGAGTAGGAATTCCTATTCCTCAGTTCTTGGACACCCCTCTTTTTGGTAGGTATAACACGCCAAAACAATTAGATTCTTGATGAGAAATGTTGATGTATTTCAAAGAGTAGTGAAGTGCGGAACTCTATTCACGAGCATCTTATCTCCGTTATTCTGATATACTAATGTTATAGGGAAGAAACAAAACATTTTCATACTCACATAGTTGCACAAGCTAGGCGAATATACTGTTTCGTTTTTAGAGACGAAAATTTTTCTGATGAAACAGCAATTTTAGCGAAGCTAGTAATCATTTTGTTTCCCACAAAGTTTTCTTCGGGAGCCAACGACATATGGACTTAAAAGCTAATTCCACTCGAGGTAATTCAAGGTAATGTTTTGAATTTGTCTCATTTTAGGCGAGAGATGTTAGTGGTGCCTTACCTGTTCATTATGCTTGCCGCTTTTGTACCAAGGATAATATCGATGATATGCTTGAACTATTCGAAAATTTTCCACAGTGGTCAGAAGTTACAACTTATGATAATAAAAGACCAATCGATATAGCTGCTGAGTACGGTCATGTTGGTATTGTCAAAAAGTATTTGCGCAAAAATGAAAATTCAAATAGCATATATACATTAATACGTGGTGCTATTCGACACCGCACTGGTAGTGTATCAAACTATCTTAGGAAGAATTATGGTGATGAAGATAATTCCGCTTATAGACGAGCATTGCATTATGCCTGTCGACAATTTTACGGACATCAATCAATAATTCCTATAATTTCTGAGTGGGAAATGGCTACTTATGATATAAATGGATATACTCCATTGATGGTAGCCATAAAACATCGTCGAATCGAGTCCGTTTCACACCTTCTCGAGAGCAAATTTTGCACAGAGAAAGTGTTAAAAACGCCTACAGAATACGATACGAAGCGCACCGTTCTACATATTTGTGCTGAAGTGAACGAAGATCGGATAACTGATCTTCTTGTGAAAAAATGTTCAGAGTATAAAGAACTATTTCTTATGTGCGATTTGATGGAAAATACACCTTTCCATACGTGTGCTCAAAAAGGTAATCGTTACATGTGCGAGCAACTGATTCAATATTATAAAAAAACAAATAATAGTGCTAGAACAACTCAACAATCGAAAAATGAATCGACAATGTGGACAATGACGAATCACAATAAATGGACAGCATTGCATGAAGCCATTCAAAATGGGTATCCAGAGATTGTCGAGACTATGTACGCAAATATGGAACTTGTTGACTTTGAAAAAATGGCTGATATGGTTGACGAAGAACTACGCACACCCTTACACATGGCAGCAGCAAAAGGTCAGTTTATAGTGAATTCCTATTAAAAAAACATCATCGAAAACCAAAAACTGATGAGCAATGAAATTCCATATAAAAGTAATCGACTATCGAATTGATGCTACAAATTCCATAAGTTATAAAATATGATTTTATCTCTAAAAGTAACACATTCCTTAACACATACGCACATCTTAAATACTATTTTATTGTATTCTTGTTTAATAATCTTCTCTTCTTTTTTTTGAAACGTTATTCATACAGCTTTTATTGCATAGAGAAAACTATTTTCAAATAAATTTTGAATATAATTTAGTCTTTTTTGGTTAATTTATAGGATATCCTGATCTGATAAAATTTTTTGCCACTGAAGCACAAAATGGCCGTGTACATGCTCGCGATTTCATAGATCGAACACCATTACATGACGCAGCAAGTTGGTCCACGGATGATGATGATGAAAACAAGGGACGAATTGAGTTTATTGATATTCTAGTCAAATTAAAAGCTGATATAAATGCGACAGACATACGACGAGATACACCGTTGCACGTAGCGTGCAAAACTGGTTCACACATACTAGTAAAACATCTACTCAAGTTGAAAGTCGATCTTTTGGTAACAAATATTCAAGGTTTCAATTGTCTTGAAGTGGCAATTGAAGAGGGAAATGAACGAGTGGTCAAATATCTTCTTGAACATGAATGTGGGTTCGAATTAATGCGAAATGCACAAAATGAGTATCCTGATAACACACCTATGCGGAAGCTCATTAGATCAATGCCTGACATGGCTAAACTAATAATTGACGAATGTACATTGACCGTTGGTGCCGCAAAATCACATATACATATGGAAATTTACAATTACGAATTTTTGGAAGATTGGTATTTCATTGACGATTGGAAGAAAGGTAAGAAGTATTTTCTTTTTAGTCAATACATTGCACTTAAATAAAGAGTGTCCAATCTTATATACTTTCTAAAGATTTTCAGAATATTTTCGACACAATATCTGTGCTTATATATTATTTTCAGGTAATGTCAAGAGTGATGCAAAAGAAAACAAGAAATCAACCAAACGAATAAGCGAATTCTTCAGGAACAAAAATACAGATCTTGTTCGTAATCATCCACTTTTTTTAATGGCCGAATACGATCGATATAAACTTATGGAACAACCACTATGCAAAAGTTTACTTTACACAAAGTTCTACGGTTGTGGAATTTATATTTTCCTTGTTTTGTTATTAATTCAGCTTATTTTCGTTGGTATATATACAAAGATAGCTTTACGTGCAAAACATCCAGCACAATATTACAATTTGACAAATATTAATTTCGATTTAGGTCTATGTGAGAATGTTGCTCGAGCAATTGCAAATGGAACAATCGATTCTGAAGTCATAAAGCAAACAGTTGATTATTGGCTTAAGTATATATTGTACGGATTGATGGTACCAATATTTGTAAAAAATTTCTGGATTATACTGAATTTTGCTCAATTAGATTTAAGAAAAATATTTACAGTTTCTGTTGAACTAGGAGCAATTGGGCTAGGTGCCTATTTTATTTATGATTATAATTATCAAGAAAAGATTGTTATGCGTTGTCCTATTCAATGGCAATTGGGTGCATTTGGTCTCTTTCTCAGTTATTTGGGCATGAGTTACTACGTTCAATATGCTCCAATCGTTGGTGTTTATGTTGTCATGATGATAGCTATATTTCAAAGATTTTTTCTTTTCCTCCCAGTAATTATAGTTCTTGTTTGTGCCTTTGGATTCTGTTTTTATATGATTTTTCAAAATCATACCCCGTTTTCAGAACCTGGCCTTGCTTTAGACAAAGCAGGTATGTTTTTTTTAAAAAGAACTTATTTTTTAAGCACGATCTAAAAGGAGTGTTGAAGTATAGGAGTAGAAATTTTGAACCCACTCCCTTGTGCCTAGGCCGACGAATTACACTTTCTGAGACTCGGACTCTGGGACTCGACCCAGACTTCGACCCGATCTACAGAAATTTTTTGAACACAAATTCGTCTCATAACACCTGCAAAAAATTTCTCTCATTGGAATTCGAAAGTAGCTTCGAAGATGTTTTATACTATTCCTCATTTATTTGTATTTTGCCACTGGCGTACCCAAAATTGTCTATGTTAGAGTCCTTCAATGGTAATTTTTCCGGATTCGAACCCGAATTTGACCTGGACATTAGGAACATCTCCCGCCTCCGCTCAATTATAGAGGGCATGGTAAATTCCGATTTCCTAGAAATTCAAATTTTTCGATATCTCTATATCAACTGATTATAACAACTAAGCTTGGTTGAGCTACCAAATTCATTTTAGTATGAAAATGATGTAGAAATGAAGTGTCCATTGCTGAGCATGAGTTGAGTTGGGTTAGAAAATTCATTTTAATACATAAAGGGTATAGAAATGATATCTATATACCATGGGTTGGGTCATGTAGACCCAACTCGATTCAACCTAATCCAATCCAACCAAAATTTAAACTACGCACTGCATTTCTGCATTCTTTTGTAATGAATTAAGTTTCCGTGAAAATTTTTTTATAATGATTTCATTTAAATTTTCAAAAAATCGGAATTTACCATCGCATGCCATTACAAACATCTTAGCAACGTCATCTTCTCCCTATCACATGCCGTAACAGACAGATGCGTTGTAAGAAGCTTGATCGTGTTTCACATTTTAGTCTTCAAGGGATTGCGCTAACAGCTTTCTATTTTCTTTGATTTCGCATTTGATTTGTATTTAGCTATGATGATCAGTGGCGAAATTAATTTTAATGATGTCATGTTTTCCAATGAGCAAGAAGCTTATTATAAACTTGGTTATGTCATGTTTATTCTATTCGCACTTTGCATGACAGTAATAACGACAAATGTTTTAATTGGTATGGAATCTTTTCTTTTGATCGTTACAGTATTTCTTATCTCTATTCAAAACAGGTCTTGCCGTTGGTGAAGTTCAAGCTTTGTTAATGAAAGCTAAATCTGCACAACTTGACATGACTTATGAGCTTGTACGTGACTATGAAATTCTTCGAATGCAATTTAATCATCGTATATGTAAGCCTTGTCGTCCGGGAACGATTTTTGAGACTCAAACGTATAAAGCTATCGATATTGTCAAACTTCCTTGCTCTACACGATTGGGAAAATGGTTGTCGAAGTTGTTCACACGTGAATTGTTCGCTAGTGAACTAGGAGATGAAGCTAGTGAAGACGATTCCGAACGACAAATGAATATACTTGTGGAAATTCAAAATGAAATGCGAAAACTTCCTAAACCAAAAGAGGACAAAGACGAAAACAAAGGCTTTCGATGGCCAAATCAATACTCGAAACCAAAACATGTTTCTAATAGCTAACCTTTTTGACAACTGGATAGTCTTGGTTTATTTACTAATCTCTTTTAGATTTATTTATTTAACATAGAACTTCATCAAAATTTCGTATCACATTGATTGTAAGGACGCAGCCATGAGTGTCACTCTTTTTGGATCACAATACCAGCATCATGTTCAAACGTCTACAACAAGCCACATCAGCACTGGGTGTG